ACAAAATGATTATAAAGTAACATTAGTAACTAAATTTTGTTTTGCTTTTTCTAATACATTTGCCTGCAGTCGTTCTTCAGTCTTCTAACCATATTTTACTTGTGTTAATTAATTAATTTAAACTTTGTCTATTATAAACTGTAAATAGTAAATATAAATGCATTATGTAAAGCCACTAGGTGTTTCTAATATGTGACATCAGTAGCGTGTCCAGAACTTCTTTTGTGGATGGGCCACAAAAATTAAGTTCAGAATGGTTTTACCCCCTCCTCATACTAAAATTTCATTGAGCATCGGACTTACACTAGTCTAGTACTTATATAAAAATGTGAGTGGGCACATGCACACCGGGCCCACCCCCTAAACACACCACTTTGTTCACACCACAGTGTGACTTCCAATCATATCATTATTCATACTTAAATTTTTGCATTCTCTCATTATTATATTGCTCTTTGTACATGTATGTACATATTGTAATATTTTGAAAACAGTCATATTTMAAAAAATTAAATAAAAATAAAACCTTTTCCATAAAATTTGAGACACATTGTTGTTTTTAGATTTAATAATTCACAGAGAATTGCAGTTTTTGACTCTATTAGAAAAAACTATTATAATTAATTACATTTTTTTTTTTTTACTTTTTAAATTACATTTCACTTCTGGATCTATCAGTACTTCTAGATAACCATCTACTGAATTTACATCAATATTTGATTGATACAATTTATTACTTTATTTGTGTAATAGTAAATTAATGCTAATTATTATCTATACATATTTTTAATCCAAACTATAATTATAGTGTATTGTATATAAATCCAAAATACTTAGGTAAAATTARTTAATACCCAATACTTTCTCAGTGCCCACCAATATATTTTAACAGTGACTCTGGCAGATACCATATTAAACTCCATACAAAATTTACATTTAATTCATCAATTGTAATGTAATTACTTTGTGTTAGATTAAATTATTTAATAAACAATTATGGCAACATCTGAGAATAACAATTAATTTTAAAATAATAAAAATTAAGAAGGTAGTTTTATAAGTATTATACAAAATACTAAAAACTTCACGCAAAACCTTAAATTATTATTTCTGAAAATAATATTATATAATAGTAGGTAATAAGTACAAATTATACAAAATTTGTGAAGTTATAACTTAAACTATTCATTATGGCAGTCAGAGTTGATTTCTGTTACAACACTCGGCCAGTAAGTTATACAAATACAACCACACAGGTATTGAGTTCACTATTGTAACAGTATGTGGGTAATAGTTGAGTAGATGTTAATTATACCATAAAAAAATACTATATTTCTTATATTATAAAACTGTACTCTTTTTTTATATATTATATACAGCTTTTTATTTATAAAAAAATTATAATTTCATTGCATAAAAAATAATCAAGCAACTAGTMATAAGTATAAGATAGGACACAATAAATTATAAATTTGTATTGAATTGTTAGAAAATAATTATTCATGTGATACACTAGTTAAAAAAATTGAAATTAAACTATCCAGTGGCAAGTTAACAACCAACAATCAACAATGTCAATTTGTCAATGCAAATATCTTGACTTTCATTAATAATACCTTTTTCATAGAATCATAAAGTATACAACACTGTATCGATATGTACGATACTCCGTTACTAAAAAGAATATAATAGGCAGAAACCAGTAATTATCAAATTATAAAGGTGTGTGGGAAAATGCTCGTTTGGAAAAATCATAAAAGTTTAATTATTTATCATTTCTAAGTTGTAATGTACCACCCACATACTGTCAATTTTCTTTTTAAATAATAACAATAAAAAAAAATTATACATAAATAGTTTATTATCAAAAATGCAAATACATATTTTTTTATGTAATTAAAAATGAATTACTAATTAACTTAAATATATAATACTTAATTTCATAATTTTATTAAAGGCACAATTTGAGTACAAAAATAAATATGGACGGATTACAATATTGATCAAATCATATGTATTTAAATAAAGGGAATGGCAGTTATCAAATTTCATACAACACTTCTTAAAATGGTTATTTCCATTTGAAATTAGATCCCTGCTGTTGCCTTTAAAATTCTTACATATTAATGGCAGTCTTAACAAAATGGTTTTTAGGTAGCAAACAAACTATCCATAAAATAGATTTATATAAAAAAAAAA